CATCACTGATCGTAATATCTCTTTGAGATTCACACAAGATTAAATATATTTCTATCTTACTTAGAAAACGTGGATAGCCACTTTATAGCTTAAATGAATTTATAAAAATATTATACATTAGATTACCGCTAATTACCGCTAATTAATTACCGCTAAAGAAACAGTTAAGATGGAAGTGTCTCCATTCCAACTAAACTGTGGTATAACTTTCTGGTAGTCTATACACGTATCACACTGACACTCCGCCACGGTGTCTCCAGCAGGGTAGCAGGTTTTATCAGAGTTCTGACAACATGTGTTGCCTTCCTGGGATTGGGGACAATTTGTAACTGTTTATTGAATTTCAGGGAATATTTTAGGGGCAGTTGATTGAGATTGAGGATTATAAGTATTTAATTTGCATCTCACAATGTATTTTAATGAAGTAAGACTTACTGCTGCGATATTGGAGCAGGGTAGGAAATGTTTCTCAGTGGCGTCGTAACCGCAGGATGAAAAGGTTTCTGATTTGAACTCTGAAAGTATCAGATGAAACTCTTTTAGAAGAGTATTATATAGCTATATATATATATATACTATTTCAGATGTGAAACTCGTTAAATCTCACTGGCGCCCTTCTTATGTACTAATGCTTTTCATACTTAAGTTACAACAAAGTGTTCATGTTATGTATCCTAGGTGTTAGGACAGGATATTACCCGCTTAAAATATTTCCATCTAATAACTAATAACTAATAACTAATAACTAATAACTAATAACTAATAACTAATAACTAATAACTAATAACTAATAACTAATAACTAATAACTAATAACTAATAACTAATAACTAATAACTAATAACTAATAACTAATAACTAATAACTAATAACTAATAACTAATAACTAATAACTAATAACTAATAACTAATAACTAATAACTAATAACTAATAACTAATAACTAATAACTAATAACTAATAACTAATAACTAATAACTAATAACTAATAACTAATAACTAATAACTAATAACTAATAACTAATAACTAATAACTAATAACTAATAACTAATAACTAATAACTAATAACTAATAACTAATAACTAATAACTAATAACTAATAACTAATAACTAATAACTAATAACTAATAACTAATAACTAATAACTAATAACTAATAATAATTAACTAACTTGAATAGTAGACCTCCCTAAAAGGATTATTCTCAGTAGAGAGAGTGTTATACTGAACCCACCAACTCCAATACAAAGGATTACTGTCCATATCAGACACATCAAACGAGTCTAATCCTGATATTTCACAAGATACTTTAGCAGTTCCTCCGTTAAAGGTGGCACTGTTCGTACAGCTCACATCTGCAGGGCGAAATAATATTATATTTTAAATATCATCAGTAGGTGGTTGTGTACGGCACAAATTTGCTTCAAAGTTTACGAATACAATAATGGGATAATATTGCCTCAAATAAAATAAACGTGAGATGCACGATTGCAAGAGTTGAATTTTGTAGCATATTGTACAGCGCAGCTGCAGTGTTATCACTCGTAATTAGCATAATCAGTATAATTAGCATAATTAGCATAATTAGCATATAGTTGATTTCCGCAGTTCAAAGGATACACCAAAAGGATACATTTCTGCAGAATCTTGTTGGAATCTTGTCAGCTATCTTTAGAAACATCTCTGAAACCATAGGCGTTAATCAAAAGACAGTAAATAAGTAAATAGGACACCAGAACCAGAGGGAGAGCATTACAGTGCAGACAAGCACGACCGTACACTTTTATACCCGCTTTACGCTTCCTTATTTCTCATCAGAAGCAGTTCAGCAGGTTTATTTTTTAGTCAAAATATTGTAATTTTATTTATTTATTTAATTCAATGTTAAAGATAACAGGAATCAAATATAGCCATGATTAAATTTCATGAAATTAGCGCTAAATTAGTGCCTGAACTTTTATGATATTTTTTTAAAAGCAGCACAGCAATGTTAGCAGTCAACTAATTAATATGTATGGTTAGTATAAATCATAACAGAATGATTTTTTTTCCGTAGTTCAAAGGATACATCAAAAGGATACGATTCTGCAGTATCTCGTTGGGATCTTCTCGTCTAATTCAATTGGTAAACATTCCTGAAACCATAAGCGTTAAGTAAAGGCATGTAAATAGGACATCTGCTGAATGGTAGATCAGCTTAATCTGTCCGATGTCAATTCAGTAAACATAATGTAATACTAGGCTAATAAACTAGGCTCTTACTAATTCGCTCGCACCAAAAATTTCACGTGACTTTGGTTTTTACGGTTTTGCAGCCGTACAAAACGGTTTTACATAACCCCTAATCCCAACCCTAACCCTAGCCATAACCTCGGAAGCTATCCATAACCCTCACCACAACCCTAACCCTAACCCGAGCCCTAAACAATCGAATTCATGTTTTACTAGCCTGTCACGTGACCAAAACGGTTTTTTGCCCATAACTCTCCAGGGAAGCATTTTTACCCTACGTCATGGGGGGTGATTCGGAATCAGCGTCCAAAAATACACCGATTCAGATCAATTTCATACCCAAAGAGCCTTTTCACAAGAATTTTCTTAAATTTTGGGCGAGCGATTTAGTAGGAGCGAATAAACTATGTAGATTTAACCAAACCCCAAATTGGATAGAATTAGAGTGAACCGTCATTCGTCACAAATGTCTCCTTTTTCCAAACACAAAGGGAATGAGAGCAAATTAATTAAAATATTTCATATGTAAAATGACCCCGAGATGATCGCAGATTAGGGGGAGCATCAATAAGGATGTTGTTGTGGTTGGAGCTTGACTTTGGTAACCCCCTCGAACTGTCACTGTAATAACGCAATCAGTTACTGAGGAGCATGCCACCAGCAAAAAGTAACAATTAGTAACAATGACAAGTTTAATCACGCGAGAGCGACATAATACAACCACTTAACCGTGACACCAGGCAAATGTGCAGCAAAAATGAAACAAAAAGAATAGTCGAAAAAACTACATACGAATAAAAAATAAAGAACATAATAAAACATAGAGAGAACAGCCTACTAAAGGATCACCTTGTATATCAGAAAATATGGCAGAATAATAAAGTCAAATGACCGAGTCCACATGATTCGCTCTAGTCTTACGACACTTGATTTCGATGCATTTAAGTCTGAGCCACTAACAAATAACATTAATTGTTTCAAAGACCAAAATAATTAAACAATCCCAAATAATTCATAGATCAGAAGCAGAACAAAAAATTCAAGAGCTAAAAATAACAGTATGTACTAACTGGACTGGGAAGCAAACAAAAGCCAACAAAGCGTGCTAACAGTGTAGTTAATAACATGTACCCCGGCGATTGTTTTAAGGAAAGGTTTAGCGAGGGGACACTGCTAACGAACGCATTATTTCCTCCGCTGGACGTTTTGCTTCATCGCGGAGGTCGGGCAGGGACACCATTGTATATAATAGTCAATGGAAAGAATATATATATAAAGTGATTTTTAGTGTATTTAGTGTTACCCGTGCCCCTAAGAAACTTTTCATATGTTAACTTATATAGCGTAATCCTAAACGAAAGCCTCACTTGATAATGTGGTTATAAACCCAGAAACCATGTATAACATTGCCTCCGTACTGTGGGCAGTGGGAGCTCGAACTGTGGGCAGAGACTAGGGTGGCTCGTACTGTGGGCAGTGAGGGAGCTCGTACTGTGGCGCAGTCGAGCTCGGTACTGGTGCAGAGGGAGCTCGTACTGTGGGCAGTGGGAGCCGTACTGTGGCTTTTTATTTTTAGGAGGGAGCTCGTACTGTGGCAGTGGGAGCTCGTACTGTGGGGCAGTGGGAGCTCGTACTGTGGGCAGTGGGGGCTCGTACTGTGGGCAGTGGGGGCTCGTACTGTGGGCAGTGGGAGCTCGTACTGTGAGCAGTGGGAGCTCGTACTGTGGCAGTAGGAGCTCGTACTTGTGGCAGGGGAGCTCGTACTGTGGGCAGTGGGAGCTCGTACTGTGGGGCAGTGGGAGCTCGTACTGTGGCAGTGGGAGCTCGTACTGTGGGCAGTGGGAGCTCGTACTGTGGGCAGTGGGGGCTCGCACTGTGGGCAGTGGGAGCTCGTACTGTGGGGCAGTGGGAGCTCGTACTGTGGGCAGTGGGGGCTCGTACTGTGAGCAGTGGGAGCTCGTACTGTGGGTAGTGGAGCCTCGTACAAGTGGGTAGTTGGGCATGCGTACTGTGGGCAGGTTGGAGGTCGTACAGTTGGGCAGTGGGGTCTCGAACTGTGTGCAGTGGTAGCTCGTACTATGGGCAAGGGCTCGTACTGTGGTAGTGGGGGCTCGTACTGTGAAGCAGTGTGAGCACGGGAACCTGTTTGTGCCAGTGGAGCTCGTACTGTTGGCGGCAGTGGGGAGCCCGTACCGTGGTGCAGTGGGTGGCTCGTACAGAGTTGGTTCAAGTGTGACGCTCGAACTGTGTGACATTGGGCAGTGGGAGCTCTATAGCTGTGGGCAGTGGGAGCTCGACTGAGGGCAGGTGGGAGCATCGGTAGTGTGGGCAGTGGAGCTCGTACTGTGGGCAGTGGGAGCTCGTATTGTGGGCAGTGGGAGCACGAACTTGAGGGCAGTGGGATCGTTTAAGCGTACAGTGGGCATAGGGGTGCTCCGTACTGATGGACAGTGGAGCTCGTACTGTGGCAGTGTAGCTCAGTACTGTGGGCAGTTGGGAGCTCGTACCAGTGGGCAGTTGAGCTCGGAACTGTGGACAGTGGGAATCGTACTATTGGCAGGGTGGGGCGGTCTGTCATAGAGAGTCAGTGGGAAGCTCGACTGTGGAGGCAGTGGGGCGTCGTAACAGTGTGGCAGTAGAGTACTCGGAACTGAGGGCAGTGGAAGGTTCAGCTTCAGGGCGAGTAGGGAGCTCGTACAGTGGTCATGGGAGCACGATTACTGTGGGCAGTGAGCGTCGTACTGTGGGCAGTGGGACACGTACTGTGGGCAGTAAGGGAGCACTACTGAGAGCAGTGTGAGCTCGAACGTGGGCAGAAGTGGAAGCTCGGTACAGTGGAGCAAGTGGGAGCTCGTATGTAGGTGCAGTGGAGAGCTCGTAGCAGTTGGACATTGGGAGCACGTAGCTGTGGTCAGTGGGAGCTCGCGTACTGTGGACAGTGGGGATGCTCTTGAATTGAGCAGCTGTTGGAGCTCGTACTGTGGGCAGTGGGGGCTTGCGTACTGTGGGTAGTGGGAGCTCGGGTACTGTATGCAGTGGGGAGCTCGTACTGTGGGGCAGTGGGATCTCGTACTGTGGGCAGTGGGGGGCTCGTACTGTGAGCATTGGGAGCTCGTTACTGTGGACAGTGGGAGCTCGTATTGAGAGCAGTGGGAGCTCGTACTGTGGCAGGGGGGGCTCGTACTGTGGGTAGTGGGAAGCTCGTACTGTGGGACAGTGGAGCTCGTACTGTGGGCAGTGGGAGCTCGTACTGTGGGCAGTGGGAGCTCGTACTGTGGACAGTGGGAGCTCGTACTGTGGGCAGTGGGAGCTCGTACTGTGGACAGTGGGAGCTCGTATTGAGAGCAGTGGGGAGCTCGTACTGTGGGCAGTGGGGGCTCGTACTGTGGGTAGTGGGAGCTCGTACTGTGGACAGTGGGAGCTCGTACTGTGGGCAGTGGGAGCTCGTACTGTGGGCAGTGGGGGCTCGTACTGTGAGCAGGGGGAGCTCGTACTGTGGACAGTGGGAGCTCGTATTGAGAGCAGTGGGAGCTCGTACTGTGGGCAGTGGGGGCTCGTACTGTGGGTAGTGGGAGCTCGTACTGTGGACAGTGGGAGCTCGTACTGTGGGCAGTGGGAGCTCGTACTGTGGGCAGTGGGAGCTCGTACTGTGGGCAGTGGGAGCTCGTACTGTGGACAGTGGGAGCTCGTATTGAGAGCAGTGGGAGCTCGTACTGTGGGCAGTGGGGGCTCGTACTGTGGGTAGTGGGGGCTCGTACTGTGAGCAGTGGGAGCTCGTACTGTGGGCAGTGGGAGCTCGTACTGTGGGCAGTGGGAGCCCGTACTGTGGGCAGTGGGGGCTCGTACTGTGGGCAGTGGGAGCTCGTACTGTGGGCAGTGGGCAGTGGGAGCTCGTACTGTGGACAGTGGGAGCTCGTACTGTGGGCAGTGGGAGCTCGTACTGTGGACAGTGGGAGCTCGTATTGAGAGCAGAGGGAGCTCGTACTGTGGGCAGTGGGGGCTCGTACTGTGGGTAGTGGGGGCTCGTACTGTGAGCAGTGGGAGCTCGTACTGTGGGCAGTGGGAGCTCGTACTGTGGGCAGTGGGAGCCCGTATTGAGAGCAGTGGGAGCTCGTACTGTGGGCAGTGGGGGCTCGTACTGTGGGTAGTGGGAGCTCGTACTGTATGCAGTGGGAGCTCGTACTGTGGGCAGTGGGAGCTCGTACTGTGGGCAGTGGGGGCTCGTACTGTGAGCAGTGGGAGCTCGTACTGTGGACAGTGGGAGCTCGTACTGTGGGCAGTGGGAGCTCGTACTGTGGGCAGTGGGAGCTCGTACTGTGGGCAGTGGGGGCTCGTACTGTGGGCAGTGGGAGCTCGTACTGTGGACAGTGGGAGCTCGTACTGTGGGCAGTGGGAGCTCGTACTGTGGGCAGTAGGAGCTCGTATTGTGGGCAGTGGGAGCTCGTACTGTGGGTAGTGGGAGCTCGTACTGTGGACAGTGGGAGCTCGTACTGTGGGCAGTGGGAGCTCGTACTGTGGACAGTGGGAGCTCGTATTGAGAGCAGTGGGAGCTCGTACTGTGGGCAGTGGGGGCTCGTACTGTGGGTAGTGGGAGCTCGTACTGTGGACAGTGGGAGCTCGTACTGTGGGCAGTGGGAGCTCGTACTGTGGGCAGTGGGGGCTCGTACTGTGAGCAGTGGGAGCTCGTACTGTGGACAGTGGGAGCTCGTATTGAGAGCAGTGGGAGCTCGTACTGTGGGCAGTGGGGGCTCGTACTGTGGGTAGTGGGAGCTCGTACTGTGGACAGTGGGAGCTCGTACTGTGGGCAGTGGAGCTCGTACTGTGGGCAGTGGGAGCTCGTACTGTGGGCAGTGGGAGCTCGTACTGTGGACAGTGGGAGCTCGTATTGAGAGCAGTGGGAGCTCGTACTGTGGGCAGTGGGGGCTCGTACTGTGGGTAGTGGGGGCTCGTACTGTGAGCAGTGGGAGCTCGTACTGTGGGCAGTTGGAGCTCGTACTGTGGGCAGTGGGAGGCCCGTACTGTGGGCAGTGGGGGCTCGTACTGTGGGCAGTGGGAGCTCGTACTGTGGGCAGTGGGCAGTGGGAGCTCGTACTGTGGACAGTGGGAGCTCGTACTGTGGGCAGTGGGAGCTCGTACTGTGGACAGTGGGAGCTCGTATTGAGAGCAGAGGGAGCTCGTACTGTGGGCAGATGGGGCTCGTACTGTGGGTAGTGGGGGCTCGTACTGTGAGCAGTGGGAGCTCGTACTGTGGGCAGTGGGAGCTCGTACTGTGGGCAGTGGGATCCCGTACTGTGGGCAGTGGGGGCTCGTAGTGTGGGCAGTGGGAGCTCGTACTGTGGGCGTGGGAGCTCGTACTGTGGACAGTGGGAGCTCGTACTGTGGGCAGTGGGAGCTCGTACTGTGGGCAGTGGGAGCTCGTACTGTGGGCAGTGGGAGCTCGTACTGTGGGCAGTGGGAGCTCGTACTGTGGGCAGTTGGAGCTCGCATTGAGAGCAGAGGGAGCTCGTACTGTGGGCAGTGGGGGCTCGTACTGTGGGCAGTGGGAGCTCGTACTGTGGGTAGTGGGAGCTCGTACTGTGGGCAGTGGGAGCTTGTACTGTGGGCAGTGGGAGCTCGTACTGTGGGCAGTGGGAGCTCGTACTGTGGACAGTGGGAGCTCGTACTATGGGCAGTGGGGGCTCGTACTGTGGGCAGTTGGAGCTCGTACTGTGGGCAGTGGGAGCTCGTACTGTGGACAGTGGGAGCTCGTACTGTGGGCAGTGGGAGCTCGTACTGTGGGCAGTGGGGGCTCGTACTGTGAGCAGTGGGAGCTCGTACTGTGGACAGTGGGAGCTCGTATTGAGAGCAGTGGGAGCTCGTACTGTGGGCAGTGGGAGCTCGTACTGTGGGCAGTGGGAGCTCGTACTGTCGGCAGTGGGAGCTCGTACTGTGGACAGTGGGAGCTCGTACTGTGGGCAGTGGGAGCTCGTACTGTGGGCAGTGGGGGCTCGTACTGTGGGCAGTGGGAGCTCGAACTGTGGGCAGTGGGAGCTCGTACTGTGGGCAGTGGGAGCTCGTACTGTGGGCAGTGGGAGCTCGTACTGTGGGCAGTGGGAGCACGTACTGTGGGCAGTGGGAGCTCGTACTGTGGGCAGTTGGAGCTCGTACTGTGGGCAGTGGGGGGCTCGTACTGTGGGCAGTGGGAGCTCGTACTGTTGGCAGTGGGAGCTCGTACTGTGGGCAGTGGGATCTCGTACTGTGGGCAGTGGGAGCTCGTACTGTGGGCAGTGGGAGCTCGTACTGTGGGCAGTGGGAGCTCGTACTGTGGGCAGTGGGAGCTTGTACTGTGGGCAGTGGGAGCTCGTACTGTGGGCAGTGGGAGCTCGTACTGTGGGTAGTGGGAGCTCGTACTGTAGGCAGTGGGAGCTCGTACTGTGGGCAGTGGGGGCTCGTACTGTGGGCAGTGGGAGCTCGTACTGTTGGCAGTGGGAGCTCGTACTGTGGGCAGTGGGATCTCGTACTGTGGGCAGTGGGAGCTCGTACTGTGGGCAGTGGGAGCTCGTACTGTGGGTAGTGGGAGCTCGTACTGTGGGTAGTGGGAGCTCGTACTGTGGGAGCTCGTACTGTGGGCAGTGGGGGCTCGTACTGTGGGCAGTAGGAGCTCGTACTGTGGGCAGTGGGAGCTCGTACTGTGGGCAGTGGGGGCTCGTACTGTGGGCAGTGGGAGCTCGTACTGTGGGCAGTGGGAGCTCGTACTGTGGGCAGTGGGAGCTCGTACTGTGGGCAGTGGGAGCTCGTACTGTGGGAGCTCGTACTGTGGGCAGTGGGAGCAGGTACTGTGTGCAGTGGGAGCTCGTACTGTGGGCAGTGGGGGCTCGTACTGTGGGCAGTGGAAGCTCGTACTGTGGGCAGTGGGGGGCTCGTACTGTGGGCAGTGGGAGCTCGTACTGTGGGCAGTGGGGGCTCGTACTGTGAGTAGTGGGAGCTCGTACTGTGGGCAGTGGGGGCTTGTACTGTGGGCAGTGGGAGCTCGTACTGTGGGCAGTGGGAGCTCGTACTGTGGGCAGTGGGGGCTCGTACTGTGAGTAGTGGGAGCTCGTACTGTGAGTAGTGGGGGCTCGTACCGTGGGCAGTGGGAGCTCGTACTGTGGGCAGTGGGAGCTTGTACTGTGGGCAGTGGGGGCTCGTACTGTGAGTAGTGGGAGCTCGTACTGTGGGCAGTGGGGGCTCGTACTGTGAGTAGTGGGAGCTCGTACTGTGAGTAGTGGGGGCTCGTACCGTGGGCAGTGGGAGCTCGTACTGTGGGCAGTGGGAGCTTGTACTGTGGGCAGTGGGAGCTCGTACTGTGGACAGTGGGAGCTCGTACTGTGGGCAGTGGGAGCTCGTACTGTGGGCAGTGGGAGCTGGTACTGTGGGCAGTGGGAGCTCGTACTGTGGGCAGTGGGGGCTCGTACTGTGAGTAGTGGGAGCTCGTACTGTGGGCAGTGGGAGCTCGTATTGTGGGCAGTGGGAGCTCGTACTGTGGGCAGTGGGAGCTGGTACTGTGGGCAGTGGGAGCTCGTACTGTAAGCAGTGGGAGCTCGTACTGTGGGAAGTGGGAGCTCGTACTGTCGGCAGTGGGAGCTCGTACTGTGGGCAGTGGGGGCTCGTACTGTGGGCAGTAGGAGCTCGTACTGTGGGCAGTGGGAGCTCGTACTGTGGGCAGTGGGGGCTCGTACTGTGGGCAGTGGGAGCAGGTACTGTGAGTAGTGGGAGCTCGTACTGTGGGCAGTAGGAGCTCGTACTGTGGGCAGTGGTGGCTCGTACTGTGGGCAGTAGGGCTCGTACTGTGGGCAGTGGGAGCTCGTACTGTGGGCAGTGGGGGCTCGTACTGTGGGCAGTGGGAGCTTGTACTGTGGGCAGTGGGAGCTCGTACTGTGGGTAGTGGGAGCTCGTACTGTGGGCAGTGGGGGCTCGTACTGTGGGCAGTGGGAGCTCGTACTGTGGGCAGTGGGGCTCGTACGTGGGCAGTTGGAGCTCGTACGTGGGCAGTTGGAGCTCGTACGTGGGCAGTTGGAGTAAATGGAGCTCGTACGTGGGCAGTTGGAGCTCGTACGTGGGCAGTTGGACCTCGTACGTGGTTGTATACTGTGTCCTGATAGGTTAGTTTGTTTTGCCAACAGACTCTTTTGTATTTCAGGAGACAAAATGTGGCAAAATAAACACAAAAGTATTTGAATGAAGTGAGTTGTAACCAATAAAGTAACCACTTTACCTTTAGTCTCTAATAAACACTCAAACATGTTATTAGTCCATCACTCAACCAACAATCATAAGATACGGAAGTAAAACAAAGATAATACGTAGTATAACCGAGGTGAGATACCAGCAGTAACACTAACAGAGGTGAGATACCAGCAGTAACACTAACAGAGGTAACACTACAATAACAAGGCGTACTGGTAGCAAGTCTGCAAGTAGCCCGACTAGGTTGCAGAGAGTGTACTACCTAGTTGGGAGCTATTAATAGACCCAACATTAGATCAGGTTATCCGGGGAAAGCTGTCATGCTGTTTTAAAAAGGTTAATATTGTGTATCTAGCGTAACGTAAATGGAAATATTGGCACTGTGCCAAAGATAATACTCAGCTTGTTCAGGAATATCACATAATATATAATTACATAATTATATAATTACATAGTATTATATGCACATACCCAATACCCATGCAGTCTAGCGGCGGTATGACATACGACATATCTCTACTGGTATACTGATTTATTTTAAGGGTGTGGTATTGGTAACACGTAGGTGATGGTGCAAACAGAGCACCTAGCTTGGGGCTTGGTCTACTCAACTTTTTATTTCGTGTAGTGTGAATACCAGAATACAGTTCTCTGATTGGTTGGTTTGTGTCACGTGGTGTGAATACTGTGTTCTGATTGGTTGATTTGTGTCACGTGGTGTGAATACTGTGTTCTGATTGGTTGGTTTGTGTCACTTGATGTGAATACTGTGCTCTGATTGGTCGGTTTGTGTCCCCGGTCAGGTGGCTTACTCAACTCCTTATTTCAGGAGGTGTTCACTAGTTGATACCCAGTTGATTGCAGAACAATCTCTGATAACAATCTCACTTATAGTTTGCTTGTTGCTCCCTCAGATTCAGCTTAAGATCACCAGCCAATATGAAGTTCTCCAGTTTTGCTATTTGTATCTGCTTGGTGATCCCAGCAGTTCTCACTACTTCCCCAGATCTACAACTGTCTGGAGGTGTGAAAGGTAACGTTTTCCTTTAACCAAACTGTTAGTCGACCAATGTGGAATATTCCCTCTAGCCAGACCCCAACTCCAGACTCTTCTACCCCCCTCCTCCCCCCTTTACTTTAGCACTGATCCAAGTGTTCACCGGTGTCACAAGTATACCAGTAGTTATTGTACTGTTGTTAACTATTGTGTTCAGGTAACAAATGACAAATTATTTGTATTTCCACGTGTTTTCCACGTGACAAAGCATACAATACCTATAAGTATTATTACAATAACTATTTTCAGTGTCCAAGTCTGCGTTCCACTGTAAAGTGTTGGAGCACCACAGAATGGACTGTTTCTGTTTGAGTGCCCAGTTCACCGTTAACAGCTGCCACTCCTTACTGGGTGAGGACATCATCAACTCCAACAAGTACAAAATAGGTTGGGTTTATTGAGTTTTAATGAAGTGACATCATCAACTCCGACAAGTACAAAATAGGTTGGGTTTATTGAGTTTTAATGAAGTGACATCATCAACTCCCACAAGTACAAAATAGGTTGGATTTATTGAGTTTTAATGAAGTGACATCATCAACTCCGACAAGTACAAAATAGGTTGGATTTATTGAGTTTTAATGAAGTGACATCATTAACTCCCACAAGTACAAAATAGGTTGGATTTATTGAGTTTTAATGAAGTGACATCATCAACTCCGACAAGTACAAAATAGGTTGGATTTATTGAGTTTTAATGAAGTGACATCATCAACTCCGACAAGTACAAAATAGGTTGGATTTATTGAGTTTTAATGAAGTGACATCATCAACTCCCACAAGTACAAAATAGGTTGGATTTATTGAGTTTTAATGAAGTGACATCATTAACTCCGACAAGTACAAAATAGGTTGGATTTATTGAGTTTTAATGAAGTGACATCATCAACTCCGACAAGTACAAAATAGGTTGGATTTATTGAGTTTTAATGAAGTGACATCATTAACTCCCACAAGTACAAAATAGGTTGGATTTATTGAGTTTTAATGAAGTGACATCATTAACTCCGACAAGTACAAAATAGGTTGGATTTATTGAGTTTTAATGAAGTGACATCATCAACTCCGACAAGTACAAAATAGGTTGGATTTATTGAGTTTTAATGAAGTGACATCATTAACTCCCACAAGTACAAAATAGGTTGGATTTATTGAGTTTTAATGAAGTGACATCATTAACTCCGACAAGTACAAAATAGGTTGGATTTATTGAGTTTTAATGAAGTGACATCATCAACTCCCACAAGTACAAAATAGGTTGGATTTATTGAGTTTTAATGAAGTGACATCATCAACTCCGACAAGTACAAAATAGGTTGGATTTATTGAGTTTTAATGAAGTGACATCATCAACTCCGACAAGTACAAAATAGGTTGGATTTATTGAGTTTTAATGAAGTGACATCATCAACTCCGACAAGTACAAAATAGGTTGGATTTATTGAGTTTTAATGAAGTGACATCATTAACTCCGACAAGTACAAAATAGGTTGGATTTATTGAGTTTTAATGAAGTGACATCATTAACTCCGACAAGTACAAAATAGGTTGGATTTATTGAGTTTTAATGAAGTGACATCATCAACTCCGACAAGTACAAAATAGGTTGGATTTATTGAGTTTTAATGACTCCACAAGTACAAAATAGGTTGATTTATTGAGTTTAATGAAGTGACCATCATAACTCCGACAAGTACAAAATAGGTTGGATTTATTGAGTTTTAATGAAGTGACATCATCTAACTCCCACAAGTACAAAATAGGTTGGATTTATTGAGTTTTTAATGAAGTGACATCATCAACTCCGACAAGTACAAAATAGGTTGGATTTATTGAGTTTTAATGAAGTGACATCATCAACTCCGACAAGTACAAAATAGGTTGGATTTATTGAGGTTTTAATGAAGTGACATCATCAACTCCGACAAGTACAAAATAGGTTGGATTTATTGAGTTTTAATGAAGTGACATCACAACTCCGACAAGTACAAAATAGGTTGGATTTATTGAGTTTTAATGAAGTGACATCATCAACTCCGACAAGTACAAAATAGGGTTGGATTTATTGAGTTTTAATGAAGTGACATCATCAACTCCCACAAGTACAAAATAGGTTGGATTTATTGAGTTTTAATGAAGTGACATCATCAACTCCGACAAGTACAAAATAGGTTGGATTTATTGAGTTTTAATGAAGTGACATCATCAACTCCGACAAGTACAAAATAGGTTGGATTTATTGAGTTTTAATGAAGTGACATCATAACTCCGACAAGTACAAAATAGGTTGGATTTATTGAGTTTTAATGAAGTGACATCATCAACTCCCACAAGTACAAAATAGGTTGGATTTATTGAGTTTTAATGAAGTGACATCATCAACTCCGACAAGTACAAAATAGGTTGGATTTATTGAGTTTTAATGAAGTGACATCATCAACTCCGACAAGTACAAAATAGGTTGGATTTATTGAGTTTTAATGAAGTGACATCATCAACTCCACAAGTACAAAATAGGTTGGATTTATTGAGTTTTAATGAAGTGACATCATCACTCCGACAAGTACAAAATAGGTTGGATTTATTGAGTTTTAATGAAGTGACATCATCAACTCCGACAAGTACAAAATAGGTTGGATTTATTGAGTTTTAATGAAGTGACATCATCAACTCCGACAAGTACAAAATAGGTTGGATTTATTGAGTTTTAATGAAGTGACATCATCAACTCCGACAAGTACAAAATAGGTTGGATTTATTGAGTTTTAATGAAGTGACATCATCAACTCCGACAAGTACAAAATAGGTTGGATTTATTGAGTTTTAATGAAGTGACATCATCAACTCCGACAAGTACAAAATAGGTTGGATTTATTGAGTTTTAATGAAGTGACATCATCAACTCCGACAAGTACAAAATAGGTTGGATTTATTGAGTTTTAATGAAGTGACATCATCAACTCCGACAAGTACAAAATAGGTTGGATTTATTGAGTTTTAATGAAGTGACATCATCAACTCCGACAAGTACAAAATAGGTTGGATTTATTGAGTTTTAATGAAGTGACATCATCAACTCCGACAAGTACAAAATAGGTTGGATTTATTGAGTTTTAATGAAGTGACATCATCAACTCCCACAAGTACAAAATAGGTTGGATTTATTGAGTTTTAATGAAGTGACATCATCAACTCCACAAGTACAAAATAGGTTGGATTTATTGAGTTTTAATGAAGTGACATCATCAACTCCGACAAGTACAAAATAGGTTGGATTTATTGAGTTTTAATGAAGTGACATCATCAACTCCGACAAGTACAAAATAGGTTGGATTTATTGAGTTTTAATGAAGTGACATCATCAACTCCGACAAGTACAAAATAGGTTGGATTTATTGAGTTTTAATGAAGTGACATCATTAACTCCGACAAGTACAAAATAGGTTGGATTTATTGAGTTTTAATGAAGTGACATCATTAACTCCGACAAGTACAAAATAGGTTGGATTTATTGAGTTTTAATGAAGTGACATCATCAACTCCGACAAGTACAAAATAGGTTGGATTTATTGAGTTTTAATGAAGTGACATCATTAACTCCGACAAGTACAAAATAGGTTGGATTTATTGAGTTTTAATGAAGTGACATCATCAACTCCGACAAGTACAAAATAGGTTGGATTTATTGAGTTTTAATGAAGTGACATCATCAACTCCGACAAGTACAAAATAGGTTGGATTTATTGAGTTTTAATGAAGTGACATCATAACTCCGACAAGTACAAAATAGGTTGGATTTATTGAGTTTTAATGAAGTGACATCATCAACTCCGACAAGTACAAAATAGGTTGGATTTATTGAGTTTTAATGAAGTGACATCATCAACTCCGACAAGTACAAAATAGGTTGGATTTATTGAGTTTTAATGAAGTGACATCATCAACTCCGACAAGTACAAAATAGGTTGGATTTATTGAGTTTTAATGAAGTGACATCATCAACTCCGACAAGTACAAAATAGGTTGGATTTATTGAGTTTTAATGAAGTGACATCATCAACTCCCACAAGTACAAAATAGGTTGGATTTATTGAGTTTTAATGAAGTGACATCATAACTCCGACAAGTACAAAATAGGTTGGATTTATTGAGTTTTAATTTGAAGTGACATCATCAACCGAAAGTACAAATAGTTGGATTTTTGTTTAAGAGTGACATCAAACTCCCACAAGTACAAAATAGTTGGTTTATTGAGTTTTAATGCAGTGGACTTCATTATCTCCACAAGTACAAAATTTAGGGTTGGTTTTATTGAGTTTTAATGAAGTGACATTAAATAACTCCGACAAGTACAAAATAGGTTGGATTTATTGAGTTTTAAATTGAGTGACATCATCAACTCCCACAAGTACAAAATTAGGTTGGATTTATTGAGTTTTAATGAAGGCTTATTTCCGACAAGTACAAAAGGTTGATTTTTGATTTAAAATGAGTGAAAAACAATCCAAAGTTAAAATAGTGATTTATTGGTTTTAATGAAGTGAATCATAACTCCGACAAGTACAAAAATAGGTTGGATTTATTGAGTTTTAATGAAGTGACATTCATCAACTCCGACAAGTACAAAAAAATTGGAAAAAAAAAAAAAAAAAAAAAAAAAAAAAAAAAAAAAAAAAAAAAAAAAAAAAAAAAAAAAAAAAAAAAAAAAAAAAAAAAAATTTTTTTTTTTTTTTTTTTTTTTTTTTTTTTTTTTTTTTTTTTTTTTTTTTTTTTTTTGGTTTTGGATTTAATTAAAGGTATCACCCCCCAAAAATCAAAAATTTGGAAAGTTTTAAAAAAAAGGGTGACACTAAAAATTTTAAAAAGGGGGGGATTTTTTTTTAAAAGTAACCAATGGGAAAATTTTATTTAGAGTTTTAAAAGTGACATCATTAACTCCAAAAGAAAAAAATGGGTTTGGGATTTTTGAGTTTTAAGGGAGGGGGGAAAACCCCCAAATAAAAAATTTAATTTTTTTTTGGGTTTTAATTTGGAAATAAAAAAGGTATTTTTTTATTTTAAAAATGAACATAATGGAAAAATGGGTTATTTTTATTTTATAAACCCACAAAACCCCCAAAAAGGTAAAATTATTGGATTTTTTTTTTAAGGGAATTTACACATAACTCCGACAAGTACAAATGGTTGGTTTTTATTGAGTTTTTTTAATAAGGGCCTTTTAAACTCCGAAATACAAATGGGGTGGTTTTTATTGAGTTTAATGAAGTGCAACACAACTGACAAGTAAAAAAGGGGTTGTTTTATTATTTAAATAAAGTGCATCATAACTCGAAAGACAAAATATTGGAAAAGGTTTGAATTTGGGACATTTTTAACCCCCAACAAAAAAAAATTGGATTATTGATTTTTTTAAAAAAAAGTGAAAACCCCACTAAAATTTTGGGAATTTTTTTAAATGTGGAAATTTTAAAAATAAAAAAGGGGAATATTTAAAAATCCCTTTCAATACATAAAAAAGGGGGATTTTTTTAGTTTTAAATAAGTGACTTCTTTCACTCAAAAATAAAAAAGGGGGGATTATGGTTTTTTTTTAAGTGACTTCAAAAACCCAAAAAGTAAAAAAATGGGTTGGATTTTTAGGTTTAAAAAAGGACTTCTCACCCCCAAAAAGGTTAAAAATTTTTTTTAATTTTAGTTTATAAGGGAAATACAAAATTTGGAAATTTTAATGGGTGTTTTAAAAAAAAAAAAATTGGGGAATTTTTTTAATAAAGGCCCTTTTAAAAGGGGGAAAAAATAGTTTTTTTAAGGGTTTAAATTAAAAAATACCAATGGGAAAAAATGGTTTTTTTAAAAATTTTTTTTAATGGGGGCATCTTTAAACTCCACAAGTACAAAAGGTTGGATTTTTGAGTTTAAAATGAAGTGACATCATAACTCCGCAAGTAAAAAAATATTTTTGGATTTATTGGTTTTAAGGGGAAAATTAATGCAATAAAAATTTTATTTTTAAAAATAAAGTGATTTTTGAAATTTTAAAAATAGGGGTTTTTTATTTTTAAAAATTTAATAAACTGGAAATTAAAAAAGTTTTTTTAATTTTAAATAATACATCTTTAATCCAAAGGGAAAAAATATTGGGTTTTTTTAAAAATTTAAAGGTGCATCTTTAACCCCGACAATAAAAAATAGGTTGGATTTTTTGGGTTTTTTTGATGAACAAAAATGGGAAATCAAAAAAAATTTTTAAAAGTTTAAAAAAAAAAATTAAAATGGTAAAAATTTTGGGATTTTTTTTTAAAATTGGACATAAAAAAAAAGGGGAAAAATATTGGATTTTTAATTTTAAATTTGGGGGACTTTTTTAAAACTCCAACAAGTACAAAAAATTTTTGGATTTTTGAGTTTTAATTTTTGAAAAAAAAATCAAAATTTTAAAAAAAAGGGGGGGGTCAAATGGGTTTTATTGAGTTTTTGAATACATCAAACTCCGAAAGTCAAAAAAGGGTTTGGTTTATTGGGATTTTTAAGAATGCTCATCAACCCCCACAATAAAAAAAGGTTGGTTTATTGATTTTTTAATGGAAATTAAAATTTTAAACAAAATAAAAAATATTGGGTTTAAATAAAGTAATATAACCCACAAAAACAAAAAGGTAAAATTAGTTAATAAGGGCCTTTTAAAATTGCCCTTTTAAAAAAAATTTAAAAGTTTAAAAATGGGTGGAAAATTAATAAAGTAAAAAAGGGGTTTTTGGGAAAATTCAAACCCCCAAGTACAAAATAGGTTGGATTTATTGAGTTTTAATGAAGTGACATCATCAACTCCGACAAGTACAAAATAGGTTGGATTTATTGAGTTTTAATGAAGTGACATCATCAACTCCGACAAGTACAAAATAGGTTGGATTTATTGAGTTTTAATGAAGTGACTTTGTTACTCCGACAAGTACAAAATAGGTTGGATTTATTGAGTTTTAATGAAGTGACTTTGTAACTCCGACAAGTACAAAATAGGTTGGATTTATTGAGTTTTAATGAAGTGACTTTGTTACTCCGACAAGTACAAAATAGGTTGGATTTATTGAGTTTTAATGAAGTGACATCATCAACTCCGACAAGTACAAAATAGGTTGGATTTATTGAGTTTTAATGAAGTGACTTTGTTACTCCGACAAGTACAAAATAGGTTTGATTTATTGAGTTTTAATGAAGTGACATCATCAACTCCGACAAGTACAAAATAGGTTGGATTTATTGAGTTTTAATGAAGTGACATCATCTACTCCGACAAATACAAAATAGGTTGGATTTATTGAGTTTTAATGAAGTGACATCATTAACTCCGACAAGTACAAAATAGGTTGGATTTATTGAGTTTTAATGAAGTGACATCATCAACTCCGACAAGTACAAAATAGGTTGGATTTATTGAGTTTTAATGAAGTGACATCATCAACTCCGACAAGTACAAAATAGGTTGGATTTATTGAGTTTTAATGGAGTGACTTAAGTACAAAATAGGTTGGATTTATTGAGTTTTAATGAAGTGACATCATCAACTCCGACAAGTACAAAATAGGTTGGATTTATTGAGTTTTAATGAAGTGACATCATCAACTCCGACAAGTACAAAATAGGTTGGATTTATTGAGTTTTAATGGAGTGACTTTGTTAGTTGTTAACGATAACCTCTGAAAAGGGATTGTGATCCCTGATGCGGGACAATGATATAAGAATGGGTTGTCTGTGCTGTGATAGATCTGACTTAGTTCCCTGGTAATAGCAGTGGTAGTTCACATTGTATCGAACATACATATTTTGGCCATTTTCTCACCATTTTAACATCACTAGGTTTAATTCCTCCGCGCTGTTAAAATACATGACGCTATAAATTCCCCTCCAGATCACATCAAGGGTTCATTGTGTCGGAATCACAGAATGAATTGTCGCAGCGGTGAGAATACAAAGCAATGCTGTAGATCACTACTCTGCTACAGGAATCTTGGGTGTCGTTAAAACCACAAAATAGGTAGGATTTATTGAGTTTTAATGAAGTGTCATCATCAACTCCGACAAGTACAAAATAGGTTGGATTTATTGAGTTTTAATGAAGTGACTTTGTTACTCCGACAAGTACAAAATAGGTTGGATTTATTGAGTTTTAATGAAGTGACTTTGTTACTCCGACAAGTACAAAATAGGTTGGATTTATTGAGTTTTAATGAAGTGACTTTGTTACTCCGACAAGTACAAAATAGGTTGGATTTATTGAGTTTTAATGAAGTGACATCATCAACTCCCACAAGTACAAAATAGGTTGGATTTATTGAGTTTTAATGAAAATAGGTTGGATTTATTGAGTTTTAATGAAGTGACATCATCAACTCCGACAAGTACAAAATAGGTTGGATTTATTGAGTTTTAATGGAGTGACTTTGTTAGTTTGTTAACGATAACCTCTGAAAAGGGACTGTGATCCCTGATGCGGGACAATGATATAAGAATGGGTTGTCTGTGCTGTGATAGATCTGACTTAGTTCCCTGGTAATAGCAGTGGTAGTTCACATTGTATCGAACATACATATTTTGGCCATTTTCTCACCATTTTAACATCACTAGGTTTAATTCCTCCGCGCTGTTAAAATACATGACGCTATAAATTCCCCTCCAGATCACATCAAGGGTTCATTGTGTCGGAATCACAGAATGAATTGTCGCAGCGGTGAGAATACAAAGCAATGCTGTAGATCACTACTCTGCTACAGGAATCTTGGGTGTCGTTAAAACCACAAACTAACTGGGGATAACACGTTAATCAAGGAAATTACTTTATTAGTTACTTAATTAATTAATTAATCAATTAAATACTTAAATAATGAAATATTAAATGGTGTTTATGACTTATTGATGACAACATTTTAATGCATTTTTAATGACTTGTTGATGAATTGTAAATGGATTTTTAATGACTTATTATTAATTATTATTAATGACTAATTGGTGATTATTGATATTAATATTAATGACTCGTTGATAACTTTCTAATGACTTGTTCATGAATTGCTAATTGCTTGTTTATGGCTAGTTAAAGACTTAAAAGAGCTGACAAGGATTAAAAGGAAAGACCGGTATATCCTCTAAAATCATCTAATTCGTTTAATTTTAGGGAGGGGCGCTAAAAGGGGAGAGGGTGCAAATAGAAGGGGGGCGCTTTTTCGGGGGGAGGGGGGGGGGTGCCAACATGCAACGTTAAGCCACTTTTTCCTACATAACATTGGATCACCACTTTACAAATCACAGGAGAGAACAAACATTTCGCCGCGGTTACACGCATGTTGATCAATTTTCCCTACAAACCCCCAAAAAACTGTTCCATCGCCAATCGATGGGGACAACTTTCTATGGCAAGTTGAGCCTGCGTGGAATCGCAATACCCGGTTTGAGGAAATTAGTAATTTTGACAATCACCAGTACCACAATCATCATGGGGAACAAATGATGGTTTGAAGCCGTCAAGTGTTTTACTTTTCGAGTTAGTACGATATAATATCACGTCGCGAGTAGCGATACATAATAATATAAGCCCATGTAAATAGAATAAGAGAATAAGAGCATTGAACACCAGGGCTGTAGGACTATTGAGCGGAGGGCTGTTGAGCTTAGGACTGTAGGTCGGTGAAGGTCGGAAGTAGGACTGTAGAGCGGTGTCAAATTGCCAGGATAGGACTCTAGAGCGGCCGCCCTTATAGATCTCACAACATGAGGACTTTAGAGCGGTACGATCCTAAAATGAGGACTGTAGAACGGTGGACTGTTGAGTGGTTGACTGTAGGCCGGTGAAGGTCGGTGAAGGTCGGAAGTAGGACTGCAGCCCTCCCTTATAGATCCCATAACATGCGGATTGAGGACTCTAGAGCGGTAGTCGGTACCCTCCTATAACATGAGGACTCTATAGCGGTTGAAAATTTGAAGATTATACACTCAACGAAGCTAAGTTATACATTGTAACTCGTGATTGATTATGGTCATGACATTCTAGGATGATAACTTTATTAAAGAGTCATGGAGTTAATACGCCGGCAGTTTCTCTGTGAAAGGAGTGATCCAATGGAGGAAACAGTGGCGTAACATTGAATGTAACATTTTAAAAGTCTACATATAAGTTGACAACTAAACATCGAAATGAATATTTTCGAACGTTATTTAAACAATAAAATTTAACAGGTTTCAGCATCATGATCGAAATATATACTACTCACAAGAATGAGTGCAGTCGGTAATATCTATTAAGCAATAAGCATATTAACATTTCCTATCAATATCATGTCTTCATTTCAATAAAATAAGACGAATTAAAATTCAATCCAAAAATCAATCAATAAGTAATCGTAGATGAATCATAAAAAAACCTATTCGCTATTAATTAAATCTCACGGTTCTAATGTTTATGGAAAATTAAGTAATTAACAGTATTTATACCCTGCTCAGTGCTCATAGTCACATAAACTTATAAACAGTTCACACCATAAAAAACAATGTCATAGCTGCCTTCCACTGGTTCACTAAAATTAACTTGGTTTTATCAAACCTGACGAAAAAAACGGAGAGGAATTTTATTGAATTGAAAAATTATGATTAAACAGCACACTAAACGATAATGGCTACCACTACAGTTACCCAATCAGTAGGTAAAATGCGGGTTAATTATAAATAATGTAAATATCAAAAAAGGTAAAATTTTGTATGTAAACAATTACCAAAAAATAACAGCATTAAATAATTATTGCTCACGAAAGTCTATTTTTAAGTGTAAGCCACACATCAAATTAGTTTCGAAAGTTTTCCGATAAAAATATTTCAAGAATTAAATTAATTCCAGACAAATATATGAGCTATGATTTGAAAGTTTCAGCCCCTTTTATTGAGGATAAATTTGTTCGATAACTCTCAAACAAGGACTAAGATCGGTTCTAGTGTAGTATACTCCAGTAGATGTGTTACACACCACTTCCTTCGCATCCTCGTTCATGAAAACCATCTTTGCATCAATGCACATGACGACATATTTATAGTCGTCCGATTCGGCAATTTCAACCTACAAAATGGATTCATTGAGTATAATGGATATGAAATAATGGATATGCTTATTAGTTTTAATCTGACTATCTAATATGTAATGCCATATCCATAGAAACTGACCATTTTCAATTGTGCATTTGGTGGCGTACGGGGTGGCTTACAGCGTTGTTTTATTTTTAGGGTCGTCTCATCAGTACTGAATTCAAATCCAGTGTCCAACTTAATCCTGAGGGGGCATGTAAATTTGGACCATGTTTGTTATCAATTTACATATCATTTCTATATGATCTAGTAAACTTCATTGATTGTGACCTTTATCGGAGTCAAAGTCGATGCCTCGACAACAATATATATCACAATTTACAAAAAATAAAAGTAATACGATAAGTGGCTGAGTGCAGTTCAATTAAGTAATTTCTAATATACAATTTTTCGAATGAAATGACACCTGAAGCTGTAAAGACCACCGTTGCAAGAATACACTTCTTTTAAATGATATGAGATTGTGTAGGGGCCCGATACAGCAGAGAAGTCTGGAAGGGCTATTGGAATATTTTTGTTCCCTTCTGAAAAAAATATCATTTTAGTTACAAACTTTGATACACAATAAACCTGCATTTTGTAAGTAAAACGGGATGAGCCAGCTGTTTCTTAATTTGTCATGCATTATTCTACTCTATTATCAATTTATTAGTGTTGCCACAGACCTTCTGTTAATTTTTCGGTGTAAGATTGAATCAAAGAATTATACAACTTAAAAGTTTAAATGTCTTAAAACGATGTAAATTGAATCATAAGAAAAAAAACCATGATAGTGAAGGAATACACTCAATGGCTTGATGTCTCCAAGGACTGAAACTGAAAAGATTGCAGTCGACCTTTCAAAAACGGCTTTTACTTTGGAAATTGCTGCTTCAACTGACTTGACGGATATTACGTCGCATGTTTGCTGTTGACCAGAAAGGAAAATAACCGCTCTGTAATCTGAAAAATAGACTTAAATACTTCAAAATTAAAATGCATCTTTAATTATATTTTGATTTAAAACTATATTAGAGAGATGTTTTATCCAAAAATAAATTTTACACGTGTTTTATAAAGTGCAGCAGCATCAGCTACTGCAGACACCACGGTTAAAGAATTACATGATACTAGTTTCACTAAAATATAGGGATTTAAAAATTATTGAAGAACCTATCAATATTATAATATAACCTGTAACATCGCTACTCGTCAATCTCTGAATGAGGAGTTTGGTAGACATCACACCTTTCTTATCAATTGGAGAGATAAGTGTACGGTACTGGTGATCCGATGGAAGACTTTCCCAATTCGTTGACTGTCCATCTAGTAGTAATTATTAAGGTTTTATTAGATTAGCATTCTCTAAACTTCTTGAGTTACTAACTTGTATTCACATTCTTGAGTTAAGCTTTGTTAAACTAAAACACAGCATTTATGTTCATTCAAAAAACATATAACTGTGAACACAATTACTTTTGTTAACTTAGATAAAGTTTACTTACTTCTTTTTTGCCATGTGATCCTGACATCGGATACGTCTATGGCAGTGAAATAAGTAGTCAAAATGGCTCGTCGTCCCTCCGTTGTCAGAACTGGAGTTATGGCAACAGCTTCACCTAATAGGATAAACATCGGGAGGTTAATTAAAATGTTTCAACGTTTCCCTGAAATATATTGACAATGTCTGTTTCATAGCACCTAAAAAATATTTAAAAAAAGATAAATAAATATTTTCAATTTCAAGAGAAAAGGCTTAATTTCACATAAAAATTAAGAAATTTATATTAAATTATGAACTTTCAGATAAACGTTTAGGAATAATGAAATGTTCCATATACATTATAACAATACTTGCCGATCAACGAGAATTTCTTGCTAAGAGATACTTGAACTGAATTCTGGATCCGGACGGAATAATC